TAAATGCACGATAAACTAGAAAACAATCCTAACCCTCACTTTGGCTGAGCTATGTGTCTGTTAAGCCTCATTCCTGGAGCTGGATGCAGCCAGCCTGCTCTGCTGGCATTTACAGCCATCAGTGGCACTTTGCAGATGTGCATTGTCCACTCACAGTTACCCCAGCTCGGGAACTTCATGGAAGTACTCGTTAATCTTGGAGAAAAAGAACAGTTTGCATTTCATGGCTGCAGTGCTTAGCGTGCCCTTCATTTGTTTATGCCTGAGGAAACGGCCCTACAGTGCTGAGATAAGCCTGTGGCTTGTTTTGGAAATAGAATAAAATACCCGGACTATTATACCAGCTGTTGCATTATTGGTATTTTGAAAGCATCCATGAGCAGTGGACAAATGTGGGAAGCTGTGGGAGCACTGTGCCTGCCACAGGCTCTGCAGGGGGGGCCCTGTGCTACCAAGAGGTGTGTGGGATGGGATGGGATGGGATGGGATGGGATGGGATGGGATGGGATGGGATGGGATGGGATGGGATGGGATGGGATGCTGAGTCAGGCACAGAACACTGTCAGACTGCCCAAATCAGCTTTCCCCACACTCACCAGCCCTGCTCAGGCCCCTGATCCCTGTTCTGCCTGTGCCACTGGGGATGGCACTTCCCCAGGGAACAGCTCCCATCTGAACACCAGCCAGGAAGGCCCGAGCCTGCTCTCCACAGAAACATGACCGACACAAACCCATCACCCAGCACTAAAGCTTCCCTTTGGATTCCCCTCATTTACTGCAGTTCATCTTTAGGCAAAACCAAGCACTGCACTTTGCCTCTTGCAGACATCCTGACTGCTCAGCCTTCCCGGTGTTCTAACGAGTGAAGCTCACTGTAATCATCACCATGAATACTTCCAGCACTGCTGTTTCTCAGTCCAGCTCTGCCTAAATATAGTTCCACCTCAACCAGCTCAGTCACACTCAGATTTCTGGTTATCCAAACCAGAGCTCTATTCATGAGCCGTGTTTATTAAGGAAAATATCTCGATTATCTAGAGATATTTCTGCACCCCTCACGATGTTTAGAGAATGATGTTGGCTGTGTTATCTCTTACAGGCTGGTTATTCCACAGCGAGATACGTTCCCACCAGCCAGCTCGGCAAGAGCCTCGGTGGAGGAATGGTGACCTCTGCAGGTGCCTCAGTCCCGCAGTCACATCCCCTCACACGCTCCTTCCACCACACTCAAGGTGTACTTTGGGTCGCTTTCATCTTCCAGAAATTAAAATAGAGAAAATTAAATGTATATTTGATGATGACATGGCAACATAAAATCAGCTAGAGAACACGGGCATGCGTTAATTTAAGGAATAAATGTTCATCGCTGAGAAGTCAGAAAACAATACTTCAAAGGACAAAAACTTCAAAGCACTCCATAACTTCAAAGCACTGCACCAACAGTAATAAACACTTAGGACGTGTCTGTGAGGTAGAAAAAAAAATTTCCTTTTTTAATGCTTGTGTAAACAGGGAACAGGGATTAAGGGATTTGCCCAAGGACACAAGTTAGGAGCAAAACTGAGATTGCATGTCAGAAATAACTGACTTAAGTGTCCCAGCTACTGCCAGATTTAAACAGTTCCCTGCACAGACCCTTGTTCAGCAGACACCAAAATTGATATCTTTCCTATCAAGGGCATCACCTGCCCTTCAAATCTACAAATTTAGGAAAGCTCACAATTTTCTTTTTAAAATAACTAAATAAATAGCCTTTTAAAATAACCTAATAATCCAGTCCTTGCATACATGGAGCTAAAGAAGCCAGCAGAAGTAAAAGTGGTCTGTGAAGTACCTTATGTCCCTCTGACAACAAATAAATACAAAAGATAACATAGAAACCCAAAGATTTGCCTCTTCCTTCACTCCAATTCGCTTGTTTTCTTAGATCTCTAGTAATATTAAGTATTGCCAATTTTATTTTTAATGTGGAGTTTACTGCTGATCTGACACATTTGTGGTCTCATGCCCTTAATTAAAAGAGGTGTTGAGCCTTAATATTCTTCCCTTCTCTAAAACATTTACATGTCAAATAAAATGAGTTAGTAAGTCAAAAAGATGTAAACAAAAAAAACACACTTCAAATAGCCAATTCTGAATCTCTTTGTGAAGTTGTTGTTGGAACAAAGGCTTAATTCTAGAAGTGGTTAAAATAATAATTAAAAAATAAGGGCTTTTAAAGCATAATTTCTTAAAATGAATCTATACAACAAGCTTCCAAAAATTTCTTGCCAAATATGATTCTTGCTTTAAGACAGAATTTCCTCATAAGTATTTATAATGACAAACTTTTTTTTTTTTAAATGCATAATTATATTTTGAGGACTGTGATTTGCATCTCATAACACGTCATTTGCTGCTTGTTACTTTCCAAAATAAAGTGAGGTGGCTTTGAAAGAGACGCTGCCTGCAAATGTTGTTCAAATGTTCCTCCTCAAGGCCAGGGAGGAGAACTGCACCCTTCCATCTCTACTAGGACCTGCTTGCTAGGGAAATTCATGTATTTAACACTGAGAAATTACTACCATATTAATGGAATCTTAAAGAATATCACCATTTCTTTTTTTATTTTTCCCAGGAGTTCAAAAAATTCCTATGCCATCTATAATAACTCTGCTCAGCTCCCACATTTTCCACTGCCAGAGCTCACAACTTTCCTGTGAAGTTGACCAAGGATTGTTATTTCTGTTTTGCATGGGAAGAAGAATAATAATGACAACATAAAGATCCCATTTCCCCAAACTGAGTAAGGACTGATTTACTCAAGGCACACAGAGATGTTCAGGACTTCATTAAGTCCAATCTGAAGACTCAATAATTTGCAGCTTACTGAGTCAGTGGCAGATTTGGGAACACCATTCAGTCCACATTAAACCATGGTTCTCCATGCTATGAGTTAACAATCATTAACTAAATGACAAAGGTTTTGCTATTCTTGGTGTAGTGCCCTTCTTTGCATTTCAGAGGAATTACTGGGCTCTTAAATTGGCTGTCAAATTCGCTGACTTGGTAACTGGCTGGCTTTCAAAATATATATTAAAAATCTTGCCTTTCCCAGCTATTTCTTCAATAAAACTTTTTCTTTTTTTAATAAAATAAATTTTGCAATCTTACTTATAAAGTTAAAGTCAACAGTGAAAAATTAAAAATCTTATCAGTCACCTTGTACATACTATTAAAGAAAATACATGCAAAGGGAGCAGGACCCAGAAGAAAGATCACTGAACTAGGAAACTGATAGCAAAATTTCCCATTTGCTTAAATAAGGTCAAGCTTTCAGCTTTTCAGCTCATTTTACCTCCAGCTTTTCCCAATCTCTGTAATCTCAATTTCTCTCTCAATTGGTTTCAAAATGTGTGGATAATTACTATTTTATTTCCTTCTCTTCCATGGGGAATTTAAACACCAATAAGTTAAATTAATTACAGCTAGATCCCAAGGTCCTACATCCATATGGAAGACTACACAGATTTGAAGCTCTAATTACACTTTAAATATTGCACACTGAATCACACGCCTTGATCCACCTCATGTAAAAGAATTAACTTCCAGACAGACTCTGGGTTAGAGCAGGAATGACAAGCTCAATGGCCTTAAATATACCTTTAGAGTTGTAGCTCATATTAGAAAGGCTGGATCACTTTTTATAACCAGCTGCTTATACAGTTTATTTTTATCTCGGTCTTTATGCTTTTATTTCATTGCATTATAGGGTTTTCACCTGCATAGCTGGCAGTGTGCACTCTTTCATTTCAGATCATACAAGGTGTGTGATCATGGCAACAGTAACTATGCTGTGAATTTTCTTTTGTCATGTTTAATTGACTGGTCATTTAGGAACCAGCTTGGCCAGAGGAACACAGAAACTCGACTAACAGCTATCTTCTATTCAAATACCAGATTCACAAAAGGATTTTTTTAATCCCTAATTATGCATTAAAAATCTGGAAGAAGCATTCCAAGTGAAATATCTTTCCATATCACAGACTTTTGTTTTGTTATCAAGCTGTACTCGTTGCTAAGGAAGAAGAGAGAAGATCAAAGGACTTCTAACAACTAGAAACTCAAAGGTGAGGGAGTTTTGATTTCTCTAAAGATTTATCACTGAAATTATGTGAGCTTGCTTTGTTATTTCCTATTTACTGTCAAACAATACCTCAATTCATTTTTTGATTAGCAACATGATCATGCATTCAAGCAGCCTGTTTACAAATCCATACGCGATTGAAGTCCTAAGGACTAAAAAAGAAGAACTTGTACAAGGCATAAATGACCCAGACCAACTCCTGCACTGGCTCATAGAAAATGGTATTTTTACCCCAGAAAAAAGGCTAGTCCTGAGTTTCTACAGGACACGAACAGCAAAGAACTCTCGGGTTTTAGACATACTCATTTCTCAAGGTGAACGAGCCTGCAGGCTCTTTTTTTATCCATGTTTAAAGCAAGTGGAGCCAAAACTTTACAGCAAGATAAGAAAATACGTCAGTGAAGTAAATGAAAGCATTGGAGATGCCAGAAGACAGTTGGTTGGGTATTTACTTGAAAAAGATAAAGTTTGGTTTGAAAATAGCAACGAACAACACCAGGGAAAAAAAGACAGAACTGGGGAGAAAAAGCACAAAGGGGCTATTAAGAAGAAAGGAAAAGTAACTCCACTTTCAAGGACAACAAAGCCTAGAAAAGATCCTGCTGCTGCCAACATCTTTGCTGCAGTTGCTAAAGGCTCCCTCCCTGAGTTACAGAAAACACTGAAAGATAATGACCTCAATGTGCTAAACCCTTCCAATGAAACACTTCTGCATGTTGCAGCTGCTCGTGGCCATCTATCCATCATGAAATATTTGCTCAGCAAAGGTGCAAGGACAGGTGTGAAGGACAGGAAAGGGAGAACAGCCCTGCACAGAGCAGCTGAGAAAGGCCACGGAGGGGCAGTTCAGGTGCTTCTCCGAGGTGGTGCTTCCATGCACGCTCTGGATACGGAAGGCAAGACAGCGCTGCACTGGGCTGCTGAGAATAACCACAGCCACATACTGAAGATGCTCCTGGAAGAAGAGGCAAGGAGCTGCAGGAATCAGCACAACTTTTTACACTTGGCAGCTCTCAGAGATGAGAGCAGCCTGGCCAAAATTCTTTTAGAGGCTGGTGCCTCCACTGAAGGAAGGGATGAGAGGGGACAGACTGCTCTCAGTTACGCTGTTTCTCAGGGATCTGAAAACACTGCAAAAGTACTGCTAGAAGCCGGAGCCACTGTTGATTCCAACACGGTTGAAAGAGCCTTCAACAGCAACCACCCATCCATCTTCAAAATACTACTGGAATATTCTAAAGATCTGTCTGCTGACATAATGGAGTCAGCTCTCTTTAGAGCTGTACAGAAGAATCTGCACACTGTTGTAGCAGCTTTAATTGACAGAGGCACAGATACCAATGCCCACAACAAAATGCATTACACTCCTTTGCTGCTGGCCTGTGAAATGGGCAAAGCAGAGTCAGCAGAGGTTCTAATGGAAAAAGGAGCAAACTGGGGAATAAGGACTCCTGCTGCAGACACAGCTTTGCACTTGGCAGTGCAGGCTGGGGCTGCTTCCATCGCAGGTCTGCTCCTGAGCAAGGGGATGGACACAAACCTCAGGAACCAAGCCGAGGAAACCCCGCTCCACGTTGCTGCTCTCCAGAATAACGGAGCACTCGTCAACCTTTTAGTCAGTGCTGGGGCCAGAATTAATGCTGTCACCAAAGACTTTGTTACTCCCCTGCACATGGCAAGTCTGAGAGGTCACACTGAGGTTGCCCACCAGCTGCTGCACCACAAAGCTCATGTTAATGCTCAGGACAAGCAGGCAAAGTCCCCTTTACATCTGGCTGCTGAGCAGGGACACAAACCACTGGCAGAGATGCTCCTGAAGGCCAGAGCTGATCCCAACGCACAGGACAAGGAGAAAAAGACTCCTCTGCACGCTGCAGCTCTGAGAGGACACCTCAGCATCGTGGAAGTGTTGCTGGCTAACAAAGGGAGAGCTGGAGCTAAGGACATGGATGGATGTACCCCGCTGCACTATGCCACCATGAAAGGAAACACAGACATTGTAAAAGTTCTCCTGGCCTCGGGGAAAAATAAAAATATCGACGACAGAAACGTTTGGAGGAAGACAGCTCTGCATATTGCAGCAGAGTATGGACATGGAGAGCTGATAAATCTCCTCCTGAGCCACGGGGCTGCCATCAACGCCTCGGACGGCAGCAGAGACACTGCCCTGCACTGTGCCTGCAGGGCTGGGCACCTCCGTGCTGTGAGTGCCCTCCTCAACTGGTCACGAGTGGAAAAAGCAAATTTACTCGCTGTGAACAGCCTCAGAAAGACTCCACTGCAAGTAGCGGAATCTAATGAGACTGAAAACCAGCCTCAAATTTTAACACTGTTGAGAAAGAAAATGTTAATATCAAAATGAAGATGTAAAGAAAAAAAACTTATATTTAAGTGCAGAATTCTCTTTAATGGAATTTGAATAGTCCTAATATGGAATATGATTGAGAATTATGCTTGAGCTGGCAGAATTAAGTTAGCAAAGGTGATCTTGGAAAAAAAGAATCTTAAAGACACTGCTAAACTTCTCTTATGAATCCCATACTTGGGACCTATTAAAAATGCTCTAGCTTTAAACACATTGTGTTTAAACTCTTCTAGTATAAATCAAGACAAAGATAGAAAATATCTTTTCATATATCTGTGAATATTGGCCTGTATGGATAGCTAAGATAGGCATTGTTTAGCCATCAAAATTTAAGTTAAAAAATGTCTATTATGAATAGGAAGATGTTTGCATTTCCTCAAGGTATTCCTGAGACTACAACAATCATTAACAATTATTTTTCTTTCTATCTTTTGTCATACCATTGTCTTGATTTTGCATTTTTAAGTAGAGAGAACAAAAACCATTGCATTTGCCATTTATTAATTTCACTTTCAAATCCATTCCAGCACAAAGATAAAATATGTAGAATAAAAAGGTTGCAACAGAGTTTCTTGGTTCAAAACACTTGTATTGAGATGACAGCACAAATATAAAGAGAAACACTTTCTGAGTCAACAGAAAATTCCCTGGGGTTACTTCCTATATAATGATAATCAACCCTTACACTTCAGATTACAAGCCAAGTTACCATAAACACCCAAATACCTCTTATGAAACAAAACATGGATTTAAGAATGCATGAGACTAAAACCAATTTTTTATTATTGATAAAACAACACTTAAACTTGACCCTCGCAATGCCCTGGTGAAGGGACAGACATGACCACATGCTTGAAGGACATAGGGGCACACAGCCTGTGTAGGCTCACAGGATCACAGAACCATTTAGGATGGGAAAGACCTCCAAGATCATCGAGTCCAACCTGTGACCGCCTTGTCAACCAGAGCACTGAGTACCAATCCAGTCCTTTCTTAAACATCTCCAGGGATGGGGACTTCACCACCAACCTGGCCAGCGTATTCCAATGTTTAATCTCTTCTGTGAAGAATTTTCTCCTAATATCCAATCCAAACCTCTCCTGGCGCAACCTGAGGCCATTTCCTCTCGTTCTGTCCCTTATTCCCTGGGGGCTGAGCCCACCCCCCCCACCCAGCTCCTGACAGGGACTCGTGGAGAGAGAAAAGTCCCCCCTGAGTCTCCTTTTCTCCAGGCTAAGCCCCCCAGCCACTCATCCCACCTGTGCTCCAGGCCCTTCCCCAGCTCTGGACACCTCCAGCCCCCCCATGTCCTTCTCGCAGTGAGGGGCCCAGACCCGCACACATCTCTGAGGGTGCCCCTCGCCCCTGTGCGCTCCAGCCTCCCATCGCGACCGCCCGCACTCCCCCTCGGGCCCCGCCTCACTGTCACCCCTTTCCCCTTCGCTTTCAGCTCTGCCATGTCCCCTCAGCTCCCGTCCATGTCCCCTCAATCCGGCTGTGACCCCTCAGCTCTCGGCCACGTCCCCTCAGTGCCCGGCTATGTCCCCTCAATTCGGCTGTAACCCCTCAGGTCTCAACCATGTCCCCTCAGCTCCCGGCCATATCTCTTCAGTGGCGGCCATGTCTCCTCAGTGCGGCCATGTCTCCTCAGTGCGGCCGTGACCCCTCAGGTTTCGGTCAGGACCCCCCAGTTCCCGCTTATGACCCCCCAGCTCCCGGCCATGTCCCCTCACAGCCCGGCCCTGTCCCTCAGCTCGCCGCCCGTCCCGGCCACCCCGAGCTCCGCCTACCTCAGCGCCATCTCCGCCTCCGCCGCGCCGCTCCTCGGGGCGCTGCTCCCGCCCATCTCCGCGCCGCCCCTTCCTGCGATAGCGCCGGGCCCGCTGTCATGGCGGCGGCGGAGGAGCCTGAGGTGGATATCGAGGGGGACCCTGCGGCCGCGCCGGGGTGAGTGAGGGGCGCGGGGGTCCCGCTGAGACTCGGCCAGCGCGTCCCGTCCCCCCGGGGCGGGCGGGGGTCGTGAGGGGAGAGCCGCTCCTGAGGGGGCGGCCCGCGCCGGGCGCTTCCCGCTGCTCGGGAGAGACCTTGGAGTGTCACGGAGTGCCCGTGGAGAGAGGGCAGCGCCGGTGTGGGGCATCGTCGGGAAGGGCACTGAGAACGGGGCTGTGATAGCGCTGGGGTGAGGAGAACGCGGAACCGCCGTCATGGCATCCCCCCGAGCCCGGAACAGCGCTGCGAGGCTGCTGGGAGAATCCTTAAAATACCCATGGAGAAGGTGCTGGGTTGTGTAACTGTGCTACGGAGCCCGCGGAGGCAGGGAGGCTCAGAAAGCTGAACGCTGGGAGGGAGGTGCAGAAAACGGGTTCACTGAATATTAAGGATTGGAAGGGACCTTAAAGATCTTCTAATCCCAACCGTCTGCCATGAATAGGGTTATCTCCCACTAGATCAAGTTGCTCAAGGCTTTATAAAATCTAGCTTTGAATGCTGCCAGGGCTGGGGTATCCACAATCTCCCTGGGCAACCTATGCCAGGGCATGACCATCCTCAAGTAAAGAATTTCTTCCTAACATCTAGCCTAATTTTTCCCTCTATCGCTACAGTTCCTGAGAAGAGTCCCTCTCCAGTTTCCCTGTAGCCCTTTTGCTATCAGGTCTCCACACAACCTTTTCTTCTCCAGGCTGAACAGCCCCAGCTCTCCCAGCCTGTCTTTGTAGGGGAGATGCTCCAGTGCTCTTACCAACATCGTGGCTTCCTCTGGACTTGCTCCAACACTTCCATGGCCTTCTTATGTTGGGGACCCCAGAGCTGAATGCAGCACCTCACTCCAGGTGAGGTCTCACCAGAGCAAAGCCTTGCTGGCCACGTTGCTTTTGAAGCAGCCCAGTTCTGTTGGCTTTCTGAGCTTCAGCAAATTCACAGATAAGAGATGCTGAAGTGAGTAGGCAGTGACTGTAATGCCTCAAATCGAGCACTTGCAGGTGTTGGGAGAGAATGAGAGGTTTGTAGCAGAGACACACTGCCCTCAGGTAGCCCCTGCCACGGCTGCAGACAGGCTGCTGGCAAGGGGGGCTCTTGATCCCACCCTTTCCTGGGTGTGCTCAGAAAGAAGCAGGAGTTGGATTGATCTCTGGACATGGAGACTCATTCTGATCCTTTATCCTATGAAGAAGTGTTTGAAGTGCTGCACAAAGCAGTTCAGAGCAGTAGGTGAGTTTAATTTAGTAGCTCTGCAGGGAATATAGGGCTAATTAGTCTTTAGACAAGAGTGAATGTAGTGGAAGTAAAGATTTTTGAAAATAAGTAATTACACAAATTACCAAGGAGATCTTATGCTGCATGAAAATAAAAGGAAGTTGATCAATGATGTTAATCAGTGACAGATCTCTAATTAATAATTATTTACAGAAAAGATTAAATATAAACTGGATGAAGTCTGTATGAGCACAAGATTAAATATTGGGAAGAAACTCTTTCCTGTAAGAGTGGTGAGCCCTGGCCAGGCTGGACAGGGCTTGGAGCAACCTGGTCTAGTGGGAGATGTCCCTGTCCATGGCAGGGGGTTGGAATGAGATGATCTTCCAACCAAACCATTCCAGGATTTTATTCTATGGTTATAACAACCCTATATGACAGGATTCTATTAGACCTTGTGCAAGTAGGAGCTCTTCTCAACAGGAAAAGCAGTTTGTATTTACAATAAATTGCTTTTACTTTATTGAGGGTAAGATGTAGAAATGTTAAGTGGAGATCATACGATGACATTCAGTATTAAAAATACAATGGTTCTGAACATGGAGTCTCTTTCAGAGATGATGAAAACACAGCATCAAGCCTGCTGCAGGATCACTATCTTGATTCATCTTGGAGAACTGGCAACAGTCTTGTGAGTATTTTTTTAATCAATGCTGCTTTTAGCAAGGTTATCAGAGCTTCTGTGTTCTTGCGTCACTCCATGTACATACTCTTTTAGGTTTTTAACCAGTGCTTCTTCCTTACTTTTAGAAACTATTTATTGTTAGTACTCAAGTACAGGTATTAAAATGTATTTTTGTTGTTTGCAGCCCTGGACATTGGACAGCAGCATTAGTGAAGAGAACAGGGCTGTCATTGAGAAGATGTTGCTGGAAGAAGAGTATCCTTTTGCTGATTTGGTTTTATGTTTTCCTGTAGAATGCTAGAAAACTTCCTATTTCCAAAAGAACTGGACAAATCTTTCCCTTTTAAGGTGACTGAAGCCCTGTCAACTTCGGGGGAGAGTGCAGAAATCCTGCTGTAGAAACTGCAGCATTTGTTTCTACAGCAGGGTAATTCTGACGCACTGTAATTTATCTGATATTAAAATTCTCACATGTACAAATATCTCTGATGCTTTGAAAATTTACTTAATGACTATTTCAGATATTATTTATCTAATAAATCACTTTCTGAAAAAATATGGCTCAACCAAAAGGAAGTAGAGAAAAGATCTGTGAAAAGGTAAGATCTGTCTGGGAAGAATTCTTAGTTAGCTGAGTAGAAATGAAAAGTCCTTCTAAAATTAGGTTATTTTCTGGATATGCCCCAGCAGCACAATTACTAATTTTTGTTTTCACTCTTGCATTTGCAGCCCACATAAGAAAACCGGAAAAGTCATGTACGTACATTTTAATCATGGAATTGCATTATTAAGTGTGGTGTCTGGTTTTGTTAAGTTACCAGATACTATTTTTAAAGAATTAAAGTTTCTTTTGTTTGGCCATATAAAATTATTTTAAGATACCTTTCAACAGAAAGAAATATTGTTGTATGTAACAAGAGGCTAGAGTAAACCAGGTGTTTTTTTTGGAGGGGGGAGTGTTTTGGTAGCACAGTGATCCTTATGATAAAAAATTTTTAATTCTAGTTGCCTTTTTACCTGAACTTTTGTGTTGCCTGCTTTGATGTATTTCTGTGCCATTGATCACTGATGAATATTGAGTTGCCTTGAATCTTCCATCACGATTGAGAAGCTGATGTGATTCTCAGTATTTTATTTATGAATCACAGTCATGTTTAGAGCAATACTTTGAGTTTTGCCCAAGATGAGGAGTAGTCCTTCTGTC